CAACATTCACTTTTATAAGATTTTGAGTTCCAAATTTTTTTCTCCCTCCCCAAGATGGCAAGCAATCTGATATAGGCTATATATATACAATCATATTAAACATATTTCCACATTAGTCAGGTTGTGAAAGAAGAATCAGAACAAAAGGGAAAAACCACAAGAAAGAAAAAAATAGCCAATAGTCTGCTTCGATCTGCATTCAGACCCCATAGTTCTTTCTCTGGATGTGGAAAGCATTTTCCATCATGAGACTTTTGGAGTTGCATTAGATCTTTGCATTGCTGAGAAGAGCTAAGTCTTTCAAAGTCAGTCATTGAACAATGTGGCTGTTACTGTGTACGATGTTCTCCTGGTTCTGCTCACTTCACTCAGCATCAGTTCATGTAAGTCTTTCCAGGTTTTTCTGAAGTCCACCTGCTCATCATTTCTTACAGCACAATTAGAATTCCATTACATTCATATATCACAACTGTTCAACCATTCCCCTACTGATGGGCATCCCCTCAATTTCCAACTCTTGGCCACCACAGAAAGAGTTGCTATAAATATTTTTGTACATGTAGGTCCTTTTCCCTTTGCCCATTTTAATCTTTAATTTGGTGTTGATCAGGCATTGTTCTTTGCACTGGTTCTCATCTCTGCAGATTCACTGGCTGGACTATGGACACTTCACATAGGGAGGCATCATAAAGGACAATGGATCTGAGTTTGAATCCTTATTCTGCTATGTCTTAGCTGTGTGACCTCGGACAATTCACTTCGCTGGGTCTCATCTTCCTCATTAGTAAATGAAGAGTTGGACCAGACGATCTCTAAGTTTGATTTCCAGCTCTAAATTCTATGAACAGAATTTAGGAACTGATTCGCACTAATTAGATTCACCAGAGACTGACTGGTAAGAGGAAGAAGTCTGTGATTTTATTAATTTTCACTGAGGAAATACAACTCAGGTTGGCTGCTCGGCACGTTTTTATTCCCTGGAGGAAAGTCTGCTTAAGAAAACAAAATAACATCAGAATTGTAACCCGTTCTCTGGTACCATAGACCGGACATACATAGACTGGTTTTTGTCTTAGGGACAGTCCTACAAATCAGAGCTTTTTACCTCTATCCCAGAAATCTCAGAATGCAACTAAAACATAACATGTTGTATTTTACTCTACAGATGTGGGTAAAAGGGTTCTGGGATCCTGTGCAAGCACTCACAGTAACAATGAACATACCTGGCATAGGATAGCTTATAATCTACCCCCATAGAAAATGTAGAAAACATATAAAGCCTTCAGAGTTAGTCACTAATCAATACAATCATTATGAAATTATACTTATTTAGATACTCTCTGGTTTCTTGCAGCCCCAAAAGTCTGTGAGTTGGTAGCTTTGCTACTTGCTTAACTGCAACTTTCTATGGCTCAGTTTCCTCATCTGCAAAATGAGATTGAACAAGATTCTCCTTGTACTGAAATCTCTGGTCCCAAATTGCCTAATCTGTCTGGCCCTCCACTGTAAAAACCAGATGACCTCTGAATATTTACTTTAGCTTGAAAATTCCGATTCTGGAAAACAGTATCACGTGCTGGATGACGTCTACAAATGGTTAATCGCTCTGTGCCTCAGTTCCCTCTCCTGTAAAATGGACATAATAGCTCTTACTTTCCCTGGCTCAAAGGATCTGTGGACTGCCTTGAGAACCTTTCAATCTCTACTTTTGACTGATTTTAATCAATATACAAATGGGAGCTGAGCCCTGAGTTGGGCATCTCATCCATGTTATGTGGTTTCTTCTCAGTTTCTATTTCAGAGGAGGCATTTTTCTGATCAAATTTGGGTTGGGAAGGGGTGGAGCATCTGAATGGAAGCCTGCAGACCCCTCCACATTTGCTGTAGCAGCTGCGTTCCCACAGGGAGAAATGCAGGACTGCAGTATCCATCCATCCCTCTCACTCCATGAATAGTGCAGCTGGGAATGAAATCCAGATGTCCCCCTGACCTCCCAGCCTGCCCGTGAAGCAGTGAGGTTAAGCCACCCTCACAGCCAGAGGTTGTGGTTGCTGCCACAGAAATGCCCTTGTGTCCAGGGCAGAGCCTCCAAGCTCCTCTTACTCACAGGCACGGTCTCCAGTGATCCTGAGCCAGCTCAGGGCAGAGTGGCTGGCCTCTGGGGTGGGCAGAAGCTGCAGGTTTGCGTTGGTTGGTTTGTTTGGGAGGGAAGCGAGGCTCCTGGACCCTGCTTCACCTCCAGGCTGCATTTTGGAGCTCCTAGCTTCCTTCCAGACTCAGCTCTGGTGCCCATCGTGAATCCTGCCCTGGCCCTTCCAGATGGTGGTGATTCCCTTCTGCCTTTCTCCCCCAAAAGTCACTCTAGGTGAGACGCATCGTAGCCAGTGATCTGGCCTCAGTACCTGGAAGACTTGGACCCCAGCCCAGTCTTTGACCCATTACACATTACCTATGTGACCCTGAGCAAGTTGCTCTGGATAACTCTAAGCTGACCATCGGTGGAGGGAATTTCTTCATGTGGGAGTGCCCTTTTCTATTAAATGAAATCTGAGCTCCAGTTCCTATCCCTATGTACTTTGGATAATGACGGCACCCACCTCCCATGGTTGTTGTGAGGATCAAATGAAAAAATAATTTCAAACCCCACTTAGCACAGTGCCTGGCACATAGTAGGTGCTTTATAAATATTACTTATTATCATTCTTACATGCCTCATATTTACTTCCTGGTGGACTTAGGGTCCTAGATTCAGAGCTGGAAAGGAGAGCAGAGGCCTGTCATTTTACAGATAAGGAAACTGAGACCCAGAGAGGTTCAAATAACCTGCTCAGAATCACACAGATAGACTACTAGATCCCACTAGACCATGGCCACCTAATCTGCCTCTCTCTCCACCCCAGCAGAATGTATTCTCCTGGAGGCCAGTGAGTGTTTCCTTCTCTCTATCAGGAAGACTGGATTCCCTCTGAGGCTCCCTTCCAGCCCCATGATCTTCTGAGGCTAAGGCTTGGGTAGAATCCTGCCTTTCATCCATCTGGGCTCTTGACTCTGCATAAATCACTTAACCTCTTACTGACTCAAGCAACGATCTGAGATAATAACCTGGGTATGGAGCCACATGAATAGGCAGAATGCTGGGCCTGGTGTAGGAAAGACCAGAATTCAAATCTTCTCTCAGACACTCTCTGGCTATGTGACCCTGGGCAAGTCACCTAACCTCAGTTTCCTTAACTCAGCATAATAACAGCCCCCTCTCTCCCAGGGTAATAGTCAACATCAAATGAGACAATTCTTGTACTGTGCCTGACTCAAAGCAGGTCTTATATAAGTGTTAGCTATTATTATTTATTATTACTGATAGGCGTTCCCTAATGAAATCAGGCACAGACCCCTCCCCACCCCCAATATCCCAAGTGCCCAGCAGAGTGAGTACTTTCCATAAATTAGGCATTTAATGCTTGTTGAACTGAATTGACTCAACTCAAATCAAATTAAACTGAATTGAATTGAATTGACTTTCCACTGGCCTCCTCAGACTTAATTCTCCTGGCCAGGGGAGAATTTCATCAAACTAAACTCTTGGGAAAGGTTCCTGAGAGCCAAGACACCGAGGCTCTGGGCAGCACTGCATGACCCAGCTCCATCCAGAGACAGACACCTACCTAGGCCCCCAGGCGAGGCATATTTTAAATCCAAAGAAAGCCTGCATTGACTGCAGATAATGAGCGGATTGTTATGTGGCTGGCCTCTCCTCCCCTCCCTCCCTGAGAAAGGCCACGTCCAAAGGCAGATCTCACTTTCTCCAGGGCCACTGGGTTCACCCTGGCTCCCCGATGGGGCTTCTAGGGGAGTTGGCTGATGCTTCCAAGTAGAGTAAAGATAGGGGGAGGGAGGAGAAAGGGGAGCGGGCCCAGCCCTGGAGGCCCATGATCTAAGAGATGGATTATCTCACTCTGATCCCCTGACCCAGCCCAGAGCCAGCCCCCCACCCCCACCACCCTGCTGCCTCAGCCAGAAAACCAGGAGAGAGGAAGGGCTGGCCAGTTGTCAGGAAGAAATAGTTTCCAAGATTAGAGGCTGAGGCCAGCTCACCCCAGGATCTGCAGAAAAAGGGAGTGGAGGCAGCTGGGGTCTCCTAATCCCAACATTTCCATTAAATTACAAAAAGCAACTGAGGTATTGACCTCTGAAATAATCCTCTGAGTATTAAACATAAAAGGATAGTGGGAGAGTGACTTATCTGGGGAGCAATTATCTGTTGAATATTTTTAAAAAAGCTGATTGGAATCCCAGCTCTTCAAACTACCTGTGTGACCTCCAACAAGTCACTTAGGCTCCCTGTGCCTCAGCTTCCTCATCTGTAAAATGAGTGGGTTAGACAAGATGACCACTGGGGTCCTTCCAGCTCTAAACAAATCACGACCCACGGGTCCTGCCCGAATGAATTTGACCCAAGTCTTCTTTCAGCCAAACACAAGGTTTATTAAAGATCCGCCATATTGGCCAGACTCCTAAGGAATCTAAGCATCTGTATCACTAACAAACCGGCCAGACCTTAAGAACCTGAGGGCCTTAATGGAGGCCAGATGGACTTATATACAGAAAGACTGTGGGAGGGATCTAGGAGTGGCCAAGTAGTCTGGGGTGAGCGGAGGAGGGGTCTAAGGAGGATCTCGATGGGAGTGGCCAGTAAGCTGGGGTGACTGTGACGTCACAATGCCAGGGACCTGTACCCCGTGGCCAAGGAGAATGGAGTCTAGATAGGAGTAAGGGTGGGAAGCGGCCAGGGCAATGGGGAAGTAACACAACAGAATTGGGAGACTGGAGGCAGCCGCAATGAAAGGCCAGTTGAGGGGATTACAGCCTCAGGCAAATGCCAGAGATTTGGGAAAAGTCCAAGGATTTTCTTTTTTTGGATCCAGATCCCAAACACCTGGTCTTTTCCTTTTAGGGGTTCAGATCCCATCCCCATCACCATGATCCCAAGTCATTTAATATCTCTGGGCCTCAGTTTCTTCATCTGTAAAATCAGGAGATTGGACTGGTTGCCTTCTGAGGTCCCTTTCAGCTCTCCATCTGTGATCTTACGAATTCTCCTTCATCTCTTCTAGAAGATAAAGCAAATGGGATAATAGATACAAAGATTCTACAAACCTTAGAGTTCTATATAAATTTTGTTGTCGGTTGTGTCTGACTCTTCCTGCCCCAATTTGGGGTTTTCTTGGCAGAGATACTGGAGTGGTTTGCCATTTCCTTCTCCCCCTCATTTTACAGATGAGGAAACTGAGGCAAACAGGGTGAAGTGACTTACCCAAGGCCACCCAGCTTGTAAGTGTCTGAGGTCAAATTTAAATTCAGGTCTTCCTAACTTCTGGCCCAGCACTCTATCCTATTCCTCTATACAAATGCTAGTTATTGTCAATTATTATTATCATTATTACTATTACTAATTAACCTCTGAAAAATTCTAAAACTCCATGGGAGGCACCTAAGACTCAGACTACCCAGAGCTGGGACACAGGCCAATGAAAACAAGCATTGACACTCCCACACACCAGACAAGAATGAAGTGATAATAATAATTACTGATTAATGCAGATTATGCAAGGAATTGTTAGAAATTGTGCAACACTTTACTGCAGGCTTCAAAGGTGACTCAGATAGATAGAGCAAGGGTTCTGGAGTCGAGAAGCCCTGAGTTCAAAGACTGTCTCAGACATTGACTGTGTGACCCCGGGTGAGTTACTTACCCTTTGTCTCAGTTTCCTCATCTGTAAAATGGAGCTAATAATATCTTCCACCTCCCAGTATCAAATGAGACACTATAATATCCTAGGTAATGAGACATGACCTAATAGCTAGAATTATACATCAGAAACTCCCTTTCTTTCATAAGACAATAAAATACAAATCACCATCCCACAAATACGAACCAGAATATATTGGAGAACTCAAACAATAAACTACACTGGAATTGGACCATTATCACAGACAGAACTACAACTTTGACCACATAAACACAGATAACTGATCTATGAAGTTATTGTTGTTGATGGGCAGCTAGGTGGCACCATAGTGCACAGAGTCAAGAAGACTTATCTTCCTGAGTTCGAATCTAGCCTCAGACACTGTCTAGCTGGGTGACCCTGGGCAAGTCACTTAATCCAGTTTGCCTCAGTTTCCTCATCTGTAAAATGAGCTAGAGAAGGAAATGGCAAACCACTCCAATATCTCTGCCAGGAAAACCCCAAATGGGGTTACGAAGAGTTGGACATAACTGAAAATGATTGAACAAAGCAATTTTAGAATTTTTTTAATAGACATCATCATACTAAAATACTCAATCTTTAAGTGTCAAGAAAAAAAAATATTTTCAAAACAGAGAAACCTAGCAGAAGAAACCAAAGTCATGTGGGAACAGAATTATGTCTACTTCAGTCCCCATCATCCTCTCTGTAACTAGGGATGTACAGTGATTTGACAGCCAGGGAGGACCCAGCTCCGTCCAGACATAGCCACCAACCTAAGCCTAAACACTTAGGCAGAGCATGTTTTTAATCCCAAGAAAGCCTGATAACGACTGGATTCTTGTGGGGTGGACTGTGTAGGACCTCTTTTGTTTGAATGCCAGTCCTGCCTCTGTGTGACCTCAGCTAAGTCACTTAGTCTCCTAGGGACTCAGTTTCCTCATCTGCCAAGCGAGTAGGTTAGACCAGATGGCTCTTTCCAACTTTGGTGTTATGGTCCTATGAATTCACCCTCTCCTCCATGTGTGGAAAACTCTTGGGAAAAGAGAAGGAGGTATGGAAATGTGATTTATAAAAATTGTAATCCCCTCGGGAGGCACCTGGGATTCAGACTGCCCACAGCCGGGATACATGCCAGTGAACACTCCCACCATGCTCCCACAGGCCAGACCCCTGGTGCTTCCTGTTATCAGACTCCCTGTGCCCTTTCCCCTGCATCAGCCTCCAGCACCAGCCAAATACCACGGGGCACCAGCTCCTCCTTCCTGAGTTAATGGATACCCACACACACACACACACACACACACACACACACACACGTGAACCAAGAACCTCGTATTCTACCAAAGCCAGCTACTCACTGGCCACCTCACCAAAATTCCCCTCTCTAAGTCTGAGTTTCCTCAACAGTAAAAATAGAGACCAGATTGTCTCTAAGGTTGCTTCCATCTTTAAATCTGTGATATAACGAATGATAATAATACATTTTATCAAACTGTACAGCAGTCTACAGAACATTAAAATGGAATACCAGCAGGATAGCGACTGGTCCTGGATCGTTTCTACCTGACCTCCACTGAATAAGAGAATCTCGCAATTAGAGTCAAGTCAATAAGCATTTATTAAGTAATTACTATGAGCCCGGCATTGCACTGGGAATATAAATATAAGCAGAAGAAAAGATAGTCCTGTAAGCCCTAAGGAGCTTACATTCTAAGAGGAAAAAGCAATGTCTAAAAGGAAGTTGAAGGGGGAAGGGATGGAGAGATGATGAAGGTGCCCTTCCTGGAGGCGTGGCAGAGAAAGTCCTATGGACATGAGTCAGGAATGCAGCCTGGAAAGGAAGGAAGATATGGGTGGCCTGGGCCAACTCCTTAACATGGAGGTTCTGCGAGGAACCTGACAATCACAAGGAGAGGCCATAGGGCAAGGGATACTTCTTGATGTGACAGGTGGTCTAGGTATGGAGTGAGCTTCCAGGGGAAGAGCTTTCTATGGCCTGATAGACAAAGACCTGAGTAGATGAGTCAACATTACAGCCTGGTAAAGAATGGAAACATGAGGTTGTTATTATTATTATTATTCATCCATTATCAATTTTTCATTAATTCATCAATTAATAAATAATAATAACCACCACTGACCTTTATGTTATGTTTTGAGATTTGCAAAACAACTTACATTATCTCATTTGATCCTATAATCAATTCTAGCTCTGTGACCCTAGGCAATGAATGCACTTAACTATCTCCCTCAGTTTTCTCATCTGTAAAATGGGGATAATAATAATAGTACCTACCTTCCAGGATTGCTATGAGGGTAAAACGGGATATTTATAAAGTGCTTTGTAAACCTTAAAGCACTACACAAATACTAGTTATGAGTATTATTATAATCAATTCACTAAGTAACTACTGTTAAGCATTTGCTCTAGATTTTGGGCAGGATAAATGAATGGAAAAAATGGATAGCTAAATGAATGAATGAATGAACGAAAAAGCATTTATTAATCACTTACTATGTGTCGGGGGCTGAGTAGCTGAGAGAGTAGGAAAGGCTCTCCCCTCAAAGATTGTCCATTCTCATAGAGTAAAGGAACACGTAAGGCATATGTGCTTGCTTATGTAGGTTCTATGTATCTAAATGGGTCTAGATGTAGTAGAATGGAGGCATGAACAGGTATCTCTAGAATATTCTCAGTCACCTCCCTCCAAAGGAGACTTTTGATTCCTGGCAGAAAAGGAGTGGAAGGTTGAGGCCATTGGCTGGTCACTCAGAGAGAAGGGGTACTGGATTAGAATTACAGTCATCCCTTCTATATCACCACTTTCCCTATCGTGGTTTCCATATGTCACGGTCAGCATAAGAAATTAAATGGGATTTTGGGGGAGTTTTGCGGAAGCCACAGGTGACATGCAAAGGCCAGCAGATGACATAGAGCGTATGACCAAATACTTAAGCCAAATTTTACAACAAGGTACTGTAAACACTGCATTAAAAAAAAAAAAAGAAGAAAAAAATCAGACTTCTTCTCTGTACAAAGGGAGGGCCAAAAAATTTTACTCAGATTTCCCAGATTGTGGGGTGTGCCCTAAGCCCTGAGATCATTGTACATCTGTTTATTCCCTTAAATACTGTCAGTCTGTGGAAAATAATTTTGAGGTTCAAGCTGAGCACCTGACTGCTATTCATTAAGGGAGAAGGAGTGCCCGAAGCTACTGAAAAATCCAAACCTTGGCTCCCTTCCCACCAAAATCCAGTTTCACAATGAATACAGGCAGTAAATAGCAAATAAAACCATTTATCCAAGCTGAAAACAAACAGAAGTCAGAGAAAGCATACAGATGAGAATATACCAGAAAATACACAGAGTAAAATGAGCTTTCCCATCTGGAGCAAGACATCAGCTTAGGGGGAGAGAGAGAGAGAGAGAGAGA